AATTTATCTCCTATCCACGCATGTTTGAAAAATATTGTTTTGGCCCTATCTCTTGGATTCTCTAACGATTTAATTGTTGGAATGTATGATTTAACATTCACCAGACTTTGCTAAAAGCGTGAGCATCTAGCACCATCGGTCCAACATGATAAGGGTTTTCTACTCGGACACTTCTTAGATAACAATTCTTGCTACAACCCCTCAATCCTATGGTAACTTCCAAAGCCACTTGGTCAGCAAACATGAATTCATCACTTTCAGGTCCATAACACCCGATCCTAGACAACTGCCCAAATTAACATGCTCAAGAGGCTAATTGCAGTTCAGATCACCATAAAAACAATGACGGTAGAGCAAGGCTCCACTGTCAAGCCTAGACAACTGCCCAAATTGGAGGGACATTAAATGTGTACATGGCCTCCAAAACCACCATCTTTATCATTGGAACTCCTCCATCATAGTTTCCTGGACTATGTTCTTTCTACAAAACATTCGATGTGTCAAGGGTGTTGCATAAACTAAAGATCACACCAACATGATTACTGGTATGATGTTGCCTAAAGCAAACCGGTTTCCTAGTTTTACAAGTCGTGTACAGATGCTCCAAAGAAAGAACTAGTTTCCGTTGGGATGATCAGTAAGGAGGCAATCTACCCCTAAAGAGATTATCAATTATGCCAGAGGTCTATTTAGACCAAAAGCACAAAAGGGTCACATTCCAAACTAATTTAGCTAGGGCACAATCAAATATCAAATGATCATTTCTAGTCCAACCTATTTTGAGAATATTTTCTTTGGTCAAGAGACCATTTTACGCATTGACTAGAGGAATGTTGTTATCTCTCAGATTCCACATAAAACCTATAACTGATCATATCAAAATATTTTAGCTGCCAATGTAGATATCTCATATTAAACTTGTTTTAATTCCAATTATCAATCTCACCATGTCTCCCTCATCACTCAAATCAAAAGCATTCACGGGATTCTCTAGATTAGATTGTTGCTCTATGGTCTCCCCCCACGCAGTTCTTGTGAATCTGATGCAACCACATCCATCATCCTTTACATCGTCAACAATTTAGAGAATGTGATATTGTCAAGTGTTGGAAATTGAGTAATCCATGGTGATCCATTCACGCAGATATTTTCCTGCAACAAGGAATGTGATTAACTCCCATCAGGCTTCGCCAGAAATCTGAGACATGCTCCTGTTTTTGGCATCGGGACAAAACTTGGTTATGCACATGTTTATTTGGCAATGCACTATACCAAGTGCTTTTGGCATTCTCCAATTTTCACAATCTTTTGCATAGTAACAATCTTTTCCATGGCCTCCGAAACCACCATCTTTATCATTGGAACTCCCCCTTCATGGCTTATTGGACTATGTTCTTTCCACAAACATACGATGTGTCAAGGGTGTTGCATAAACTAAAGATCACATCAACAAGATTACTCATATGATGTTGTCTAAAGAAAAGTGTTTTCCTAGTGTTATGAGTCGTGTAACAAACAGATGCTCCAAAGAAAGAACTAGTTTGCGTTGGGATGATCGGTAAGGAGGGAATCTACCCCCTGAAGAGATCATCAATTATGCCAGAGGTCTATTTAGACCAAAAGCACAAAAGGGTCACTTGCCAAACTAGTTTAGCTAGGGCACAATCAAATATCTAACAATAATTTCTAGTCCAGCCTCTCTCGAGAACATTTTCCTTGGTCAAGAGACCATTTTTAAGCATTGACTAGAGGAATGCCCTAATCTCTCGGATTCCATGTAAAACCTATAACCGATCATATCAAAAGATTTTAGCTGCTCTACTTCTAATAGGCCATGAACTATGGATAGAGAAGAATTGTTCTGAGCGAGCTGCTCCCATTTAAGGAAAAAGAATTTCACGTTCTTCCTGAAAGGAAGGGAGGATTAGGAAAGTCCTATTGATTGCTGCTTTCTCCAGACCGCCGGGAAAAGCCATGGAGGGTCATCATTGAATTGACTATTTTTGGAAATAATTTTTTTTTGCATCTTAGCTCAATTCATGCATGGTTCCAGATAATCTGCTTGGTTGCAAAAAAATAGTTAAAATGCGTATGAATATATAGCCTAGAGTTGTAGGAGAGAGAATAGAATAGACCATATGGAAGTTTCAAACTATATATGCATTCAGGAGGGTGGAGTATGGTAGAATGGAAGGAATTAGAAAACGAGGGGTATAGTGGAGATGAGTAGGAAGATAGAAAAAGACGAATAAGAAAAGTTTTTTTGTGGATCTCTCATATTAAACTTGTTTTAATCCCAATTCTCAATCTCGCCATGTCTTCCTCATCACTCAAATTAAAAGCATTCACCAGATTCTCTAGATTAGACTCTTGCTCTATGGTCTCTCCCCATGCATTTTTGTGAATCTGATGCAACCCCATCCATCATTCTTTACATCGTCAACAATTTATGGAATGTGATATTTTAAAGGGTTGGGAATTGAGTAATCCATAGAGATCCATTCACGCAAATCTTTTCCTGTAACAAGGTTTTAGCTGCACTAACAAACTTCTTGGAAAAGTGATTTGCGCCCATCAGTCTCCGCCAGAAATGTGAGACACGCTCCTTTTTTGGCACTGGGACAAAACTTGGTTCTGCACATGTTTATTTGGTAATGTACTATACCAGGTGCCTTCAACATTCTCAAACTTCCACAATCTTTTGCATAGTGATCTCTGATTAACATTGGTCAGATTCAGGATTCCAAGCCTCCCATAATCTTTTGGCGAACGTACTATAGGTAGGCCAATTAACCAAGTATTATTTTCTTTTATCTGTAGAAGTTCATTCTCCTGATCACAATGAAACATTCTTCATGGACGTGTTGGTAAGTACTCTCCAATAGATTAATATTTCCTTTCTATCTTCTATTCCTAAATAACTACAACCCATTACCTATTTTTCCTAGTCATGCAACCATGCCACATAAGCAAGCCATGCATGCAAGTCGTCAATTCCATTTTTTGCATTACACTATGCACGCAATGGTGCCACATCATAAATTCAGGCATGTTAATTCTTCACAATTTATTCTTTGCACAAGATTTTGTATTGATAATGTGTTGGGGGATTGTCCCATATCTATGTAGTTGAAGCTTCACATTTTGTTTGAAGTGACATTATTTTAACTGAATTTAAATACACTTTGTATGTTTTCATATTACATTTTCCTTCCATTAGTTGTAGATGTTTTTTTAGTAACTATTTATGCATTTGTTTTCCCAAGATATCCCGCAGCAATGTGTGGGGCATCATCTAGTTTCAAAAGTTGTTGTTCCACTTGGACAGGAATGTTTGGCTCCCAGGTGTAATTACACCCGATTTTTTTTGAAGAAATAGTAATGTTTAAGAAAGTCAAAAAAAAGTAGATTTATTGTTACACTCATATAAAAACTTTCGCGAAGAATGACTTCGATGTTGTTGTGGACGTAAAAATATAAATTTGTCACTATATACGCCGTGCTGTTCACGCTATTGTCAGAGAATATTTGTCATTTTTGTCAGAGAATATTTCGTTGCCGAATATTTTTTTTGTACGCTAGAAATGACAGCTCAAGATTGTCGGGAAAAAGTTTTGAAACGTTTTGACTTTTTCTGAATTTTTAAAAAATAAAATACGTAACCAGGTGTAATTACCACTATGTTCCAAAGGGTATTTTCCTTCCACTTTTTCTGTACTCGTTTTCGACGATCATGTCTCTCGACATCAACTAGAATTCCTGACCAAGTACAAGATGTTTCCCGCATTTTCCTAATATACTTCAGGTAAATATTTCACTAGATTGGTCCTCTCTTTCACATGTCTTTCCTAGACAATTTCTTTTTAAAACTTCTGCCATTATATCTTCCTGTTTACAGTGCGAGACTGTTAGTGTTGGTTATGTGCATTCTAGCTAGATCTTGAATTAATAAAGGCGGCATTTATCGAGAGAGAGAAGACAATAAATTCCACTCACATGAAAGTTAATTCTTAATCCACTCAACAAATTTCACTCTCGAGAAGAAGACCCGGTGGTCCGGCCGCGAATATACTCCTTGAATAGGTCCGGTCTCAAAAGAAGAAGAAAATCGCTGAACAAGTCTGCCTTTTAACCAGACGGCGAAATGCGAAAGAAAGATAACGAGACCGGACGGCGACACACGGCGGCCGCTGACATTTCTCCGCCTGGAAAGAGCCGAGAAGAAGACCGCCGAAGCTTCGGGCAGCCCGTGCGCCTCACGATGTCACACCGAGATGACGCTGGCAGGCAGGCCGGGGCCGGAGGTAGCTCGGAGTTGGCAGCTGCCCAGTTCGGCGACAGCGACGCGTCCACGAACCACGGCGAAGGAATCAGCCAAACTTTGATTTCTTTTCCGCTGGCCGAACGATCAACCAACACATCGATCGGCTGACGAAACCGCTCCACCACTTCCCGGCAGCTGCCAACGAGCCAGACAAGACAAACCCATCAGCTAGCTGGCTGACACGGAGCAGGAGCTCGCCAAGTCGCAGTCCTCTCTCCCCCATGACCGAGCTTCTCCGGAGCCAACCCATGGATTCTGACATGCCATTGCCATTGCCATTGGAGATTGGGCGAAGGGAGGGAAGATAAGTGCTGCGACGTGTTCTTGACATGGATTCATGGATCGACAAAATGGAGAAGGAGGCCGAACTTTCATGTTCTTGCTCTACTGCTACATGTTCTTGGCATCTTTCATGTAAATTAATTAACTGATATAAGAAACAAATAATCACAAAAGGGTATGAACCAAACATCCTCTGTAACCACATGTTCTTGCTCGCCGTCAATGGGGTCTTACTTACCACAAGAGCAGCAAGAGGAAGAAGAAAGAAGAAGAAGAAATCAAGAATCAAGTTAAGCAAAACGAGGCAGGCACGGAGCGGAGCAGAGCAGATAGATATACACGGACGGACCTATATCTACCGGATTGGAGACGGACGTGGCCGAGCAGGGCGGGCTCAGGCCGCCGGCGTCGACGCCGGCGGCAGCCGGCTGAGCGCGTCCCGGAGCGTGGCCCTGAACTTGTCCAGATCCAGCCGCACGTTCTGCTTGTCCAGGTAGGCCGCCTTGAGCGCGTCCCAGCCCTGCTTGTGCACGGCGTAGGGGTCCGTCAGCACCTGGTGGTTCCGCGGGTACTGCTCCAGCAGCGAGCTCTCCTCCAGCTGCACGTTGTAGTCCATGTACGTCACCTCCATGTCCGCCGCCGGGTTCTTGAAGGTCACGCCGGTGAGCCACTCCAGGCCGCCGAAGGGCACCACCTGGATCAGCACGGCGCCGGCGGGGAGGAACACCATGTTGGTCAGCCCGGCGCCGTGCACGCCCACCATCACGTCCGCCGAGTTGACGAGCCGCGCGAAGGTGGACATGTCGGTGTGCTGGTCGGGCTCCGCGATGCGCACGTCGAAGCCCATGGCGGTGGCGGCGGCCGCCATCTCCCGCTCGTTGAGGAACCGGCGCGAGTTCTTGCGGGAGATGATGAGGAGGCGCGGCTTGCCGGCGCCCGTGGCGCCGCCGCGGGAGGCCGCCGCGCGCTCGAGGCCGAAGGCGTCGCGGAGGGTGCGCTTGAAGTCGACGATGGAGACGCGGCCGGCGGCCTTGGAGGGGATGATGCCCATGTCCTTGTGGAAGTCGGAGCCGACGACGATGCGGGGCACGCAGTGCACCTCCAGGTCGTTGTTCACGTCCACCACCTCGTACTTGGAGAGCTGCCGGAACAGCGGCCGGAACTTGGCCACCCACCAGGGCTTGAGGTCGCTGAGCAGGAACTGCACCTCGCCCTTGAACTTGCGCGTGCTGAGGAACAGCGGCACCAGCACGTCCGTGTAGTCGTGGTACAGGTTGCCGGAGAAGCCGCGGTTGGAAAACACAAACCCGGGGACGGAGTGGTTCTTGGTGCACGCCGGCGGCGGCGCGTCGGCGGGGAAGGGCCTGAGGACGAACTCCCGGACGTGGGTCATGGCGACGGGGTCGTGGTACCGCGCGTACGGCTTGGTCCTCCACTCCCTGTCCAACGAGTCGATGTAGATGGTGGAGGCGTTCCCGACCACCCGAATGTCCCCCGCCGCCTCGCACCGCTCCGAACGCTTGCTCGTCATGAAGCAGGTCGGCTTCTTCTTCTTGTGCCCCTTATCCTTATCCTTCCTCCCCGCGCCGGCGCCGGACATGGAGACGACCTTCTCCGCCCTTTCCGTGGTGACCTTGGGCACCGGCGCGGCGCTGTCCTCTTCCACATCCTCCTCCGCGTCCTCCTCTGAGCCTGACCAATCAAGAAAGAAAAGGAACAGTCTTGAGCGACATACTCGACATACATTTCGTCCCCAAATCAGTCAATTCTAGCAAGCTCGGCCGAATCAATGAATCGATCTATCCGGAAGACAGGGGCGGGGCTGTGCTCGCTCACCTCCGACCGTGGTGGCGGCGGGCGTGGGCTCGTCGTCGGTCTCCATCCGGATGCTGGAGTTCATCTGCTCCTTGAGCTGGTCGTCCGGCTTGCCTGCGGCCACCGCAAGAAACATTCAACCTCTCATCCATCCATCCATCCATCCATCCATCGAACCAGCTAGGTCGAGGCTCCACAGAAAAGAGAAGGGAAAGAAGAAGCTAGGCATATAGTACATACCGAAGGGGGTGGAGCAGTATCTGGCCTTGACGATGCTGAGGACGCAGAGGGAGAGGAGCATGGCGGCGATGATGACGCCGTTGCTGACCCGCCGCGGCTCCTGCCGGCTCCGCAGCGCCGCCTTCATCTCCAACGCCGATCCCAGCGCGCCCTCCCCCTCCGAGGCTCCGACCTCGCCTAGATCTGGAGGAGCAGCAAGGAGCTTCCTTGCTTGCTTGCTGGGCTTTGCTGCCTCCTCGCGAGGAGGAAGGGAAGGGGAGACTCTTCTCGATAGAGGGGAGCGAGAGATGCTCTGAAACTTTCTCGTGTGGCTCGTGCCCTGCTGGATCTGGATGGACCTCAGCTGCCCTCGGCTGCTCTGCTCTGCTCGCCGAGTGCCGATGATTAAACGAGGTGGTAATAAAGAATCGGAATGCTCTCTCCTCTCCTCTCTCCTGTGGCAGGCAACTCATAAGTGAGGGATTATTGCAGCAAAATCCAGGATTGTTAGCAGCCTGGCCCCCGGGATTAGCCGTCGTCGTGCGGAGAGATGGTGGACCGTTGACCGGCTCGGGCCTGGCCGGCCGCACCACGCAGGGTGGACACGCATGGTCCGACCCACACCCGCACTGTTGTTGAGTCGCCTGCGGTTGTATTATTGGCTTTTCCGTTTTCGGGCACAGGCAAAGATGCATGTATGCCCGGACCGGCCGACCGAGAGCATGAATGTGGCTTGTACCACTATATCTGGCCATGGGCCGGGCCTAAAAATGTCCACAGCAGAAAACTGAGGCCCGGGCCCTCCCAGGCCTTACCATCGGGCCTACTTTTCAAGCCTAAGCCCGGCCCACCTGATAAAAAGCCCTCAAAAGCCCTTAGGGCTTAGGGCCGTGGGCCGGGCCTCTTCCTTAAAATGCCAATATGCCAAGCCCAAGCCCGCCCAGACCCTGCTGGTGGACTCAAAACTTAGGCCCAAGCCCGGCCCATGAGCAAGCCCATCAGGCCTAGGCCCTGGATTTTAGGGCCGGGCCTGGGTGGGCCGACAGGGCCGGGCCTGAGATGGTCAGGACTATGTACCACCCTCACGGGGTCCTCCTACGTACAGAGCGTGCCAACACGCGTGAGCTTGTGTATATACCAAACACAAAGAAAAAGAAACTCCTGTTAAAAGCGTGAAATTACTGAATGGCACAAGGTGGTCAAGGATTTCCTTTCGATGGCGCGAATTATTATTTTTTTTGTGTGCAAACCCCACTGTTTTGGTTCTCAATATGGAATCAATCAATGCAAGACTGCATTCAATACGAGCGGGCCAACACTTGATCACATCCTACTACTTATACTTGGTTATACATCGATTTCTATGATGAACATTGCCGTCTCCTCCTCGGAGCGGCGAGGTCAGGGGCTGACGACGGCGACATTTTAAAACTCGAGACCATTTAAAATGACATGTTTCTCTTTCACGCGATGGCATTATAGTTACATGGCTAAATGGTTTTGCGGCCAACATATTTGACTACATGATAGATTGGCAACATTTTTAGACAAGCAAGGCAAGAGGTTAGCCCATCAAATCAATGGAGAATTTGGTTTGGCCTACATGTAAAACGACATCTTCAAACTCCAGAAATCATTTGTGTGCGAAACGAGCCAACATCTCTCAAGCTCGCAAATTGTATGATGGGATAGCATCTAAATTCCAGGCTGCTTATGATTTTCAAGATCCCGCAACAACTTGATGAGAAAGCAAGATGCGCGGTCGCGGGGTTGCGGAGAAGATGTTCTTTCTGTCTTTAGGGCTCCTTTGAGTTAAATGAATTCTATAAGATTTTTGGGGCGTTATAATCCTCAAAAAAAGAAAATCCTATGTTGGTCGTTTGATTTGTAAGATTGGATCTTGTAGGGATATTTTAAAACAATTATGTGTATTATATTTCACAGGAATGGCATCCGCTCCAACCTCGTTTTAAAAATTCTTTGTTTTTCCTGTGGCCTCAAATGCTATATCGAATCAAAGAGGGCCTTAGTTTTTTTTCTTCTAGTTTTTGCACTTAGCCAAAAAAATCTTAGTTGTTTCATTCATTAATGAAGATGAAATCTATTGCGAAGCAAAACAATCTTAGTTTTTTCAGGAGTGTTAAATCTTAGTTGAATGAGATTTAATCAAGTCTCAGTTGATGCTATACTCATAAGATTTTTTGTAGAGATCCGTGCAAAAAAAATTAATTTATCCTTTTTTTTCTTATATATTATATTACTTGACTTAGACTTGATTAAGTTTCAGTCGACTGATAGCTAGCCACACTTTTTTCGGCCTTGTCTAATCAACTACCCTTGTCCTAGTGCTAGGCCGTTGATTGTTTCCTCGCCGCCGCCGGCCAGGCCCCGCAGCGGGAGATTAGGTAATGCTAATCTCGTGATTTCTGCCAATTAGCTAGCAGCCTGCCACCGGTACATGTATTGCTTGTTCGGTTTGGTAAGCAGCCAGGACCGGCGGCTTTGGTGACGGCGTACTTCCGTGTCTCTTCCTGTTAGGACAAACGCTAATGTCCATGTGCAGCAAATAAAATGGGAAATCTTTGGTGGTTTAACACCATAACATGTGGCTGGATATATGGGGCGCGCGGAAGAGAGGTGATGATCGGGGACCCGGCATGGTGTCATCTTGTTTGGCGCCTTGCTCCCAATCATTCTCGACTCAAAGCGGCTTGCTTCGAATTGCCCTAGCTCCCCGTGATTTTTTTTCCTAGCACGAACAGATGTTGGTAAGACATTTTTGTAGACTGGAATTAATAATCCTACAAATCAAAGTACAAGATAAATAAACAGTCTTGATAGACAGAGTACCGGGCGGGCAGGCACGGCCGTAGCTTTCGGGTCACACTCACTTCTGCCGGTACGTACATATAGAATTTTTTGCAGCGGTTGGAGAGTCGACATACGCACGAAGATAGGAGTACATGCGTACGTACACAAGCGGTTCTAAACCTCTACTGCCAGTTCGGTGAGTCTGAGGGCATGTAAAATAATTGATAACAAAGTCTTATCTTAAGTCTTGCATGTGATTTAAAGATGACAAGAAAAAAAGTCTATAATGGGACATCTTTTAGCCTTATCTTCAATAACTAGTTATTCCTAAAAATGTGATGAAACATATTGTGCTAAGAGATCATCTCTTGTCTTTTCTGAAATAAGATAAGACAAACCTTTTCTTATGAGTTATCTCTTTTTCACCTCATTATTTATTCTATGTGGCACTCTTAAGATAGTATCATTGTATGTGTCCTAAGACACGCACGCACAACCGTACGTATGCGTGGAAACCCCGCGCCAAACAGCGACCTGCCACGCGAACAACGCTACAGCGGATGTACGTACGTAGGTGGAGCATGCGCTTGTGCCTGCGACTCAACCAACTGCTTCGCCGGTACTCAAACTGCGTGCGTGTACCGACCACCTGCCGCGAAACCAGCCAGCCTGCCTACAATTCCATCCGCTTCCCGGCCACGGAAGTATACTGTTGGGAAACCGAGTCATCGGTTGGGTGGCGGCGCGCCTCGTGCGTATCGCACGGGGTAGCCCCTCCCGTTCCCCTCTTTACGCTAAGTGAGTACTTATCTCTTGACCCCTAATCCCTGTATAAAGCAATGAGGAGCCCAATATTGTAACCCTGATCATTGATTAATAAAGCTGGTTTCCTCCATATCTCTCTGTGTCATTTACTTTCGCGTGTTCGACTACTTCGTCTACGATGCCCGCTCTCGCTCCGCAACCTCGAACCGGACTCGCCGGCGGAGTTGCGGAACACGTTATCAGCACGCTTCGCTCCACCAACTTTCCGTCAAGCCTGCGTCAAGCCTGCATCACGCAGGCTTTCGTCGATCCCGCGGAGGTATAAGATTCGATCCCCATCTTTGCAAAAATGGATTCCTCTCGTTACCGCGATTCCGTTTTTGCGATTAGTTTCTTTTTCGGATTTGATCTACCTATGGTGCGGATTTTCCTCCCAAGGACCGAGCGGACGAACACATCGCCGACCAATGTCGATGTTCTTGAACTAAGAGGAACTTGTTGACTGCACTATAGGGAGTCGGTACAGATCGCGATCCAGATGATCACGGTACCGCCGCAACGCACCCGCTGTGCCACGCGCCGTTGATGTTCCCGATGAACACGATGATATTTTTGAGATCCCAACGCCGGCGTCGCCGTCCCAAGCAGCTCGCCATACCCGTGCCCGATGCACGTTTCGTGCCGCCGTAGGCCCTGCCGGTCCCGGCTGCTGGCCGCCTCCGTGTGCGCGTAAGGTAGCTGCGCCCGGCGGGCTGGCTTGCTTGGCCCTTGTCGCCGCCGCCGCCGTGCCGTGGCCGCAGGCCCCGCTGGCCGCGCCGCGCCACTGGTCGCGCGCCGTAGCTGGCCTGGCCGCGCCGCGCCGGGGCCGTGCCGTGGCCGCGCGCCCTGCAGGCCGCGACACGCCGGCCGTCTCCATGGCCGCGCCCGGCTGGCGCGCGCTCGATGCCGCGAGCAGTGGCCACCGACGCCGCGAGCGCTGGCCATCCCCGGCCGCGCCCTGCGTGCGTGCGTGCGTGGCCGCCGCCGCCGCGAGTACGCGCGTTGGCCTGCCCTAGCCGCGCCGTGCGTACGTGCCGCCGCCGCCGCTCGGGCGCTAGGAACCCCTAGCGACCCCTGAGCTGGCGAGCAGCCGGCCCAGTGGGCTACTGTGGACCGGGTCCCATTTTTCCTTTCCTCTAAAAAAAGAAAACGGGGGGAGGGCGGTGGGGCTGGCTACACGGGCCGACGGCCCATTTCGGCCTGCGAGCGCACTGGACCAGGCCAGAGAGCACACGCGTGCGCGGTTCTTTGCATTTGAGCCCCCGAAGTTTCCAGATTTTACGCGAAATTTTATTCCTGCTGTAATATTTCGCGTAGAAGCCCCTGGAACTGTCTGTTTCCGCTGAAAACACGTATTTGGGCTTAAAAATGCCTCGGAAATTCAATTTTTGGGCTAGTTTTCACATAGCAGATGCGCTTAACATGCTATCTTTTGTAATATGATATTATTGTATGATTTTACTGCTGCAGATTAATTGTTTAGCACTCTTAATCATTTAGTAAGTCATATAATAGCATGTTTTAAATATTGGA